ACCTTTCTTGCATGCTATCAGGTGCTGTCTGAAGTCATATGTCTTACTGTCAACGTCTCGTCTCCTATTCTACTATCCATATGTTTATTCCTGAGAGACTGATCCACTTTCAGTAGAAGAGTCACATTTCTATAGAGCTAAGGCTAAACTATAGAGCTAAGGCTAAAACCTCAAAAACTATAGAGCTAAGGCTAAACTATAGAGCTAAGGCTAAAACCTCAAAAGGCAGTACATTTCCCAAACTAAAAAGACTCTCTGTGGATTGTCAGCCTTTACTGGAAATACCTCTGAGTCACAGGAGGTGCTACAATTTAATCGTTAGTATAGAGAATAAGACACCAAGGACATCATGAAGAATGGTCTATTAGTTGCAAATTATTTGACATAAATGCTTATAACTGTGTTTTCAGGTGGTTAAATTCAATATTGCTTTCAGGTTTATTGTACTATCCAAACTAACTTTCCAAACTAACACTTCCCTTAACCAATTAGATGATAATGAAAATATAGCAAATGGAAAAATCTCTCAACACTCAATTATCAGAGGTTTTTTCATAGTCAGTACTATCAGACCAAAGGAAAAAAGAAAGGAATGTATATCACAGACTTTCATCAGAGAGAAGATTGCATCAGGTAGCTGTAGGTGAACAAGTGGGTATTTCGATCATTCTAAAATATTCATTTGCACACAGTAAGATTAATCTCTACTAGGTTATCTCAAAGAGTGCTCCCTGGAATGTTTTTACTCCCTACTCTCCAAAAAATAAAAAAAAGAACACTGTGTCAAACAAAATTGGATAATCTGCATAGATCCCTCTCTTAGATATCCACAATGTGCATCAGTGTATTAAAGACACTGAAAAGTTATACTGTAAATAGGCCAGCTAATCATAACCTATCACGTTCAAGTGGATTAGACTTGGGAACTCCTTTTTAACTATGTAGTCTCAAAGAATATGTTTGAGAAATGCCTATCTGTACATTCTAATAATACCTACCAGGATATTTTTTATACCTATGAATAAAAACTAAAGTTGTATTTCACTACTGTTACTGTGCTATGACGCAATCATAATGATCATTTTGTTGCTGTATATGGAAAAAAAGTCTGTAAGATATATCCTGAGATCCTTTCTACAATGGAGAACTCTTACAAGTTTCCTATTTACACTTTTGCTGTTCCAACAACAAAAATAATGTCACCTTAAAAATAACTTGCATATTCATTTTCATTTAAAACATGTATATAGGTTAAATTTTAAAATATTTTTTATAATAGATTCTATACAAAATCAATCTAGTAAAAATGCATAAAATTGTATGCATGTGAATCTTTCTTTATGAATACAGAAAAACAGCTTACATAGTTTTAAAAAAAGTCTTTTGTTAACTAATTCCAATAAGATTTAAAAAAACTGACACATTTACGCAAAATAAGCCTGTCATGTATTAAAATTAAATCATGTTCACTACCAATTTTTCAGGCTCTAAATTTAAAAAGTAACTATTTCAAGCAGATGTTTTAATAGAATATGAAGCACAAGTAATATAAAGTACTGGTTGGTAAGTAAAATCACTTTATTTTGATACTGCTAGTGGAATAAAATTGACACACACACTGCACATGCAGGGGAAACAACTTAATGTGAATAGATGGGTTTCAGCACATCCCTTTACTAGAATGTGCTCACCTGCCACAAAGTCCACAAGCTCATGCACAAGATCACAACGTGACACACAGCTGAGATCACAGTGTCATGCATATAACAACAGCGTGCTCAATACTCGTACCACAGACTGTGCAGGTGTTGGCCCCCACCCCATGAGCCACTGCCAGTAGTTGCTGTGGAGTTTGGTTACCCATATCCGTGACATGAACGGTGTCCTTTGGAGAATCTTGTTCCCTGTGGCTGTAAGTATTCTTATTTTTATAATATTTTAATGATGCTTGCTATCAAAATGTTAAGTACAAAACTAGAAATTACGGAAAATGAGACTTTTACAATACTGAGCAATTATATACATCTTATCTCAGGCACCTGCAATAAAAACCACTTACATTTAAGCATATCATCAAAACTAATTCATTGCTCAGAGTTAAATGAACCCAAACTATTATGTCTGATGACAGTGGTCTAGTGAGTAGGAAAATAAAAAATCTCCAGAAAATACTCCCTGATTTCTAGCACTCAAAAAATTTGGCAAGAGTCATTCTAAAATCTGGCTACAGAATGACTCATACGATTGAGTTCTATATAAGAACATCTTAGGATAACTCACTTGCATGATTTCAATTTTAAAGACTTGACTGGCAAACAACCAAATGAACATTAATTATTTAATGAAAGAAAGTATAGAGTATAGTTATTAAAGTACTTCCCCTCATTTCTCTGAAACTATTAAATGTACGTCAATATTTTTGCCTACACATATATTTTGCCTATGTATTTCTTAAGTGCACTCTGGTAAAGATAGAATCCTATTCTTCTATTAGGCAATACCTGCTAAATTACGATATTCATAAAAGCATAGAATCAGAACTCTGGAACCACAAGACATTTTGAGTGGTTCAGCTCTCTGCATCTTGGCAGGACAACATGGCCCTTTCAGAAAGGTAAATTCACTACTTCTGGAATGCTCCAGGGTATCTTTAAATCAGGCCAAGGAGTGAAGAAAAATAAAATACAGCCAACTCTCAACAACAATGGAAGGTAGGATGGATAAGCAAAATTTGGAGCCCTAAAAATCATATTTTAATAAATAAATTGATTCTCTCTTAGTATATATTTGACTTAAAATTAAAAAAAATTTTCAGATGTAAAAAGGACTTGAATGTTACCTTTTTTCTCTGCCCCCTCTCCAAACACTCTAGAGGAGGTACTACTAATAAGAACTGGTCTGATATATGAAGCTTCAAAGATGGAAACATATTTTTACATCTAGCTTTTCCAATGTAGATATTTAAACCTGTCCATATCATATTCCAGTATATTAGGACCTATATATATTTTCATCTTTGCTTTATAATTTAAAACTTGGTGCTCCTTTAGCAAGGAATGACTACTTACCATAATCATATCGGCAGTTACAGCCAACTTTTCTGACTTTGTAACAATCTACCCCTTAGTACTTACCAAGTGACATTTTCCTCAGAATTTAACATTTGCAAGTGATATGAATTGAAGTTAACAGTTTTACTCAACATCAGAACAACTCATGATGGGAGCCAGTATGCCTTAATAAAACAGGCATAATAAGATTGGGGCATGCAACTGCTGCTTCTGTGATTCTTACGTATTTATCTATTCTGCCTCAGTTCTCCAACAATCATCATTCAGTTACTTCAACAGATGGATGCAAAATATATGCCTTATTATAAAGTTCATCATGTGAATTGTTTTAATTAGGAAAAAGTAATGTCTAACTTTAATGAATTAAGAATACTGAAGTCTCTCAAACCATGCCATTTTTTGAATACATAAATGTAAAAAAAATTGCTTGTAAGAGCAGGTATGCCACAGAGCAAGATAAAAAAAGTGACATGCTTATGTTGCTATATGTTTATAAGAAAGAAATTGGGCTTTGGCCAAAAACAAAGTAAAAACAGGTAATTTTATAATAAAATGCATTAGAAAAAATGCACAATAAAGGGACAAGTAATACAATTTAAATTTATGACAAACAGTGTATCCATTTGTCTTTTTAAAGAATAATCATTAGATTCTAAGACATGATATTACATTGGTCTCAAATGTATAATTTGAACTTCTGATAAATTATTCTACTTTTATTAAGGTATCAGTTTTCTATTCATTGAAAGTAAAATCTTTTTCAACAGTGGTGAAAGGAAAGAGAGCAAACACCTAAATTCAAATCCTATACCAGGCTTTCTTATACATTTTGATACATTTGTGGGGATAGGACTTAACCAATAAGAAATATGTGTATCAGCAAACATCTACAATAGCATTTTTAAAATAATTTATTTAATTACAAGTAAAAATTGACACAGAAAGAATCATATATAAGTACAAATCAATTTATTTAAAAATATGTCATTGTTATTATTATACACATACTTATTAAATTAGTATTTCTCTTTAAGATTCAAATATTTTACACGGGAGAAACATTTTCCTAATTATAACAAAAGTTAAGATAGATTTAGAAAATATTTGGCTGCATAATTTAATCAGTCCTTAATGTTGCTACAACAAATGAAAAACTTGGTTTTTGAAAATTAAGTAAATTAAAATAATTCTACAAATGAAAATTTTCCTCAGAAAAGTAGTGTTCTGAGTGTTGTATAATTTCACTTAGATTTACACTTAAATTTCTCAAAGTTTAGTAAATACTTAAACATTCAGAAAATTGGAGTTTTTCCAGGATATATTAAAATAAGAATATGAAAAAAAAAACCCACAGTGAAACAACTGTTTTCATATTTTGATCATTCTTATATATTTCATTAAGAAAGAATAATGAACACAAAATTATTCATTTGTATAACAGAATCTGTAAACAGTTTCTGTATCAACATAGAATTATATTGTTAAAGGCATTATTTAAAGACAACATTTTGATGTGTTGGAAAGTAGAACAATGTCTTCTATGATTATCTTTGATAAAAAAGTAACATCTCTACCAAATAAAAACAAAAAAACAGAAAAAAATGCTGCAGATAAGATTTGGGGAACATCCCCTGTGTTCTACATTTAAAATTTGCTAATATCGTATTCAGGTCAGGAGGGGCCTGTGCATATATATCATGGATGACGCCACACAAAGTAAGCAGGTAAAAAGGTTAGAACTTGACAGGTGACATAAAGAGAAATGATAAAGCCATGTAAAAATAAATCTTAAGACTGTGTTTGTCAGTGTTTGAATAGGCACGTTCAATGACTTGTAATTTTCCCTACTAGTTTGGTATACATATTTGAAAACTGCAGAAAGATAGTAATAAAGTTCATCACATACAAATAATCAGGCTGTTCACTTACCTCCTCTGGGTTGGCATTAAAAGTGAGGCTGCCTTCATCTAGCTGCATGTACAGTTTTCGAAAAGAAAATCCTAAAGGTGGGTTCTTATTGTATATGGAACAGTGACCCCAAGTGGACTTACACAACCTGTAAAAACAGGAGAAAATGAGGCAAAAAATTTACTAAATAATTTCCTAAGTTAAACATGTATACACATAATAAAATAGCAACATAAAATATATAAAATCGAATTTTATAGCTCTAAAGTTCAAAATTTGTAATTTTGTATGTGTTTTTTATTTGTTCACTAGTGTATGATAGATGACTTAGATGTGACAATTCTGAAATAACTTAATAAATGTGAGCTACAAAAGTAAATAATACTCATGAGTGCTATCTGAAGTTAAACATAAACTATTAATAGTAATAATAATAATAATAATATCTAATATTTACTGATTGCTTACTTGATGCCAGTTACTATTTTAAGTATTTTAATTGTATTAGCTTGCTAATCATCACAACAATCCTATGATGTTGGTACTACAGATAAGAAAAACAGAGACAAAACTGTTGCCCGGTAATACAGCTAATGTGTATGGAGGCAAGATTTGAACCCAATGAGTCTCAATCCAAAGCCTACATCTTACCGAAGAAGCTAAACAGGATTTATGACATAAGCTACGTGCTCTATGTGAAATACAACTAAATTGAGGGGTTGCTAAGCAGGATGACAACCTTTTGCTTTTCAAAACAATACATATATTACAACAGAAAAATTAAACATAGAAATTGCTTGTCATGATACAACTTCAATACCTACATCAAAAGCTGTGATGTTAAGCATAACTGTTTTTAAGACACAGCTTCACCATGATACAGGTTTGTTTAAACATTCTATGAACCTAAACTATTAACAGTTCATATCTAAAAACACACTGAAGACTGGGAGAGTTGTTTCCAACTCTGTACAGAGGCAATGGCTACTGGTTATTATTTGAAAGCTAAAGTTTCATCTTATTATAGTACTTAGAAATTCTGGATATATACCACAGACCCTTAAATATAAGTGCATTACTCTAGAAACACAGAAAATACTGAAATTATATTTTGCTACAATTTTAATGAGTTTTTGCTTCAAGAGTTCTGATGTGTTGTGTGTTCAAAAACACCTGCTACTTGTTGAGGAACATAAAATAGTTATACTTTCTGATATTCATTATTGATTTTTGCCTCAAACTTCCTACAAAGTACAGGGAAACAAGAAAAAGTTATTGTGTCAGCCTATAACACCAAAAATTGTAAGGATAAGTGGGCAAACATTTAATTTAATATGAGACTAATCCTTTACTTATTTTATACCATTGCATTATTTTAACCAACCTAATAAAATTGTTGATTCTACAACTCAAAGTATAATAAGTGGTTTAGAAAATTATGAATATTTTAGCAGTCTCTTTAATCTAGTCCCAGTCTTTCAGTTTCATTACTAAGCTGTGTGAAAAGCAACAGAACCTTCTAACATCAATAAGCATCCAATACATCCAAAGTTAAAATAAAAACTGAGCCAGTCTTTAATTTCAAATAGAAGCAATTTATCATTAAGAAAAAAAATCCAAGTATCATAAAAACAGGCATAATTAATTATATGGAAAACAGAGAAGGAAGTATTTCTTTCAGAGATGAACACTTCAGATTTAAATCCTAAATGATGCCGGGCTCAGTGGCTCAGCCTGTAATCCCGCGCCTTGGAGGCTGAGGTGAGTGGATTGCCTGAGTCCGCGGGTTCGAGACCCGCTTGGACAACTTGGTAAGACCTCATCTCTACAATAAGTCAAAAAATTAGTCGGGTATGGTAGCGCGCGCCTGTAGTTCCAGCTACTTGGAAGGCTGAGGCAGAAGGATTTCGGAGCCCAGCAGGTTGAGGTTGCGGTGGCCGGGAGCAACCATTGCACGCCAGTCTGGGCGACAGAGTGAGATTCCAACTCAAAAAAAAAAAAAAAAAAAAAAAATCCTAAATGATGAATACATTCTGATTTCAGATAAGCTTAGAAATAAACTTTTCTTTTATTGTTCAAGTAAATAAACACAAATTAAGTTTTGGGGAATACTAAAATGTAAAACAGAAATGATAAAGAATGAACCAGTTTAAAAATATTTTCATTTCTACTTATACTCACATAATGATTAAAAATTTAATAACTGTTATTTATTTTACACATTATTAATTAATAGAATTTTCTCTCACACAGTACTTTCACAAGTCAATCAAAGAATAACAAGATGATATGGATGATTTTTGTCTATGTAGAGGTTGAGAGATGACCTATATAATATACTGTAGTTCTATAACATGAGGAAGCCCAACTTAGGAATGTCATTACTGGAAATATACTTTTATTAAAGTTTGGCAATTTAGATTAATTTATTAACTTTCTCAATTAAATTTCCAGTTAGAAATTATTTAACGTCTTAAAAGGACTTTTGTCTTTATATTTTATATCTTTATAAAGTTCCATATAAAAATAATGAAACAATAAGTTTTAGTAAAAGATGCTTGAAGATCTGAGATCTAACTATTCTTCTATGTTTGGTAATATTTTCAAAACTTAAAGAAAAATGTACTAATTTTTTAAAGTATATTATGCTATTTAAGGAGTAATTTAGGTTCAGTAAAGCAGAACCTAGTCCACCAAAAGTTCATACATTTGTAGTTTAAATTTAAACTGGCATAATAGATGCTAAAGTTTCTATAATCTACTTTAAGTTTAACAAGTAGATTGTTTATCCCCTTGTTTTCTAATATTTTCTGATTTTGTTCACCATTGAAGTAATAGTTTAAAAAATAAATAGTAGATAAGATTTTCACCAGTTAAAGTTTACTCTAACAAGCACCTTTGATAAAAATGAATAAATAAGTAAAAAATGTACATACACATACCTGACTTGTAACCAATGAAAACAATAACATTTGAGGACTGTTTATTGATTTTTAAGTGTGCCTATTCTTCAATTGGGATACCTATGGGAAGCACAAATACACCAGTAGGTGTGGACACGCCAAGTTTTAAATCAAGAATTCTCACTTCATAAGTTTGTTGCATTTTTAGAATAAACTGATGATTTCTAATTTATAAGAAACGGACACATCTCAGTTGATAACCTCTCTCTTCTAATTATGACTATAAAGTCATTATCTGATTTTCTTTTCTATTGTCTTTATTTTCCCAATATCAAATTTGACTGTGATGATAACTGTATCTTTATTTTTCCAGGTTTAATAAAGAGCAACTCAAAGTACAAGCCCAAGCTAAAAGAAAGTATTTCATAATATGCATGTGTGTGTGTATAAAACAAAAAGAACATTTAAGCAGCATTATGTTTAGAGATACCTGAATTAAACACTGGTGGGTTTAACTTACCCTTGCCAGAGAAGTTCATCATTGGCGAGGTCCTGCCAAACACATGAAGCCAAGCAGAGGTCAGTTGCATTCAGGTAGGACAAGATGGTAAAGCTTAGCTCTGGAGGCAGCATTTCCAAATTAATGAATCCTTCTTGTTCTTTAGATTTCCTTGCCTTCAAAAGATGATATATGTCAATGCCTCCTTGGACCTGTTTACGATGACTGGTACTAGAAATGCTGCCCGCAGCCATCCTCCTGCTCTGTTCTCTGGTGAGGTAGCCTTGTTCACTACAGCCTTCCTGTTGTAGCTGCTGGTTTCTGGCCACTCTCCACAGCCCCTGACCCATCTGCAAGCCTGGGAGAAAGCCAGAATGTAATAAGGGTGACATTAAAAAACTAACCCATCTTTCCCAGTGGTATAACAAATCCGACACGAAGCACTAATTTATCAGAATTAAAATTCCTCATTAAAGCCTATGAAAACCAGTAGTATATTACAAAGAATAGTTGGAACATTATAAGCGCAAATTTGGACAGAGAAAGTTTTAGAAATGTTTGGTTTGATCATTACCTTTATCCCAGTTTGCTAACAACTTTCAAAGTCCACAGGTGACATAATCATTTTTCACGTGGTAAGATTTAAAAGTTACTGATGTCTTAAATACTCTTACAAATTATAATTATGTGGACTTACGGGCCAGTATTAAATACAGCTCTGATCAGAGCACAGAACTTTAGTTAAAAGGCCTCCAGACCCTGCTTTTTATCACAGTTCAGGCTAAGCTAAGCTAGTCCCTTTTAACCAAACTCCCAGATGCATAACAGCTGTGAAACAGGCTTTTAGTTTAATTCTTGCCAGTCTACACTCATGTTGTAGACTGTAATAAAATGTAACATAGGCCCTGAAGTCTAATTCAGAAACCTTATAAATTAGACACCTAGAATTCCATGATAAATAGCTCAGTAATAGCCAACTATTTAGTTTTGTTGTTGCTTTAAATTAAAAATAATTTAGACTAATTTTCCACTTCTTCTCCACATAGTGCTATGGATTCTGCAGAGGCACCTGGGAAAATGCCCAGCAGAAGGTGTGCTCCAGGCTCCCCCACCTCATTTGACCTCCAACCAGAGAGGCTCTACATTTATCTGTTACATGTATTGATTTCCCCATACACAAATGTCTTTAGAAAATGTCTAACCTGAACTTTTTATTTAGTCTTGCCTTAAAATAAGTAGCTTTCCCTCTGCAAGTAAATTCATTGAGAAAAGCTAAATCAGCAAGAATTTTTAACTAAGACAATTATTTTCATGACCTCTTTTTCAAACAGAATTTTCTTATTAGTAGGAAATACCTGTTTGTTTCAAAAATCTGAAACAAAATGTGGCTTTCCAGTAAAATTACTGAAATAGTCAAATAATTTTTATGACATGAGCGGAACTTAAAATATGGTGTTGTTTTAATCAACTATTTATAATAAAAACTAAAAAGCAAAAAAAAAAAAAAGACCAAAAAATGGTGATAGATATTTTTAAATTAGGAATAATATGAAAGAAAGTCAGATTTTTTTGGAGTATTTAAAGAGGACGGATCCATTCATATATTTACTAAATTATTGGCTATTGTTTGGATAATGGTCACTATATTATGTCATTGTTGATCAAAATAAACAAACAAAAAATATTCCAGGATAATTTTTTTTTCACTTGGGGTTTTGATCAGGAATTGATTGCCAGGTCCAATTCCAGGATAATTTTTAACTCCTTCTCCTCATCCTCCATTGCACTGCTTCAAACCCCAACAGCTTTAAACTACTAAGGAATGTGGGGGAGATACCAAGAGGAAGGACATATTAATAATTTTTAAATATGGGAATATTTGTTTTTGCAAAGAAGGCACAAAAGATAAACTTTCTCTACTACAAATTCTACACTACACATAATGTTATCAGATCCTAAATTAGTGGTTCAGGTAAAAATCAAATTCTTAAAAAACTGAATATCAAGAAAATGAAAACAAAACCACAAAGAAAATCTCTGCAAGACACAAATCTGATAAAACACTAGTATTCAAAATATACAAAGAACTCCTTAAGTTCAACAATAAGAAAACTACCCACATTAAAAAAATGGGCAAATGATCATGATAAATATTCTACTAAAAAATGTGTCAAGTAAGCATATGAAAAGATGCTTAACAACATATGTCATTAGGGAATGGCAAGTAAAATAACAATGAAATGCTACTACACACCATTAGAATAGTATATCTAAAACAGTGACAAAATCAAGTGCTGGCAAAGGTGTAGGAATAAAAATAATATAACCACTTTGGAAGACAGTTTAGCAGTTTCTTACAAAATTAAACCTACTTTTACCATATGATCTAGCACGAGTTCTCCTTGGTATTTACCTAAACAAACTGAAAACTTATGTATACATAGAAATATGCATGTGAATGTTAATAGCAGCAATAATCATAATTTTCAAAACTTGTGAGCAATCAAGATGTACTTCAGTAGGTGAATATACAAACAAACTGTGGTACAATACACCCGTGTAATGGAATATTACTTAGTACTAAAAAGAAATAAGCTATCAAGTCATGGAAAGACATGGCGGAATCCCAAGAGCATATTACTAAGTAAAAGAGGTCAATCTAAAGAGATTTCTACATTATGTATGATTTGAATTGAATTTGGAAAGAGTAAAACTATGGAGACAGTAAAAATGATTAACATAGAAAAAAATACAGATTTTCAACAAAAATTTTTAAGCAAACATTTAAAATGTTTAATGTATAAAGGTGCCATGTTACATTACAACATAAGTACAATTTAATTTTGATACAAAATTAATATTTAAGACTACCAAATCATAAAGAAAAATATTTTATTTTCACCATAGCTATTCCTCTGTTTAACTTACCAACAAGTTATCTAGAAATTGCATTAATTGCTGAGCTCATCTAGCCTGTCTCATCATTTCAAATAATTAAATTTATTCTTCTCTTTTGCTTTTGTACCACTAAAAGCAAATAAATATGGTAACTATGGTGTCCAAAGTCTCCAGATTTAAGGCAATTATTAACAATTTCTGTGTATTTTTCCTCCAGAATCTTTCTCGTGGCATATGGTTAAGCAGCTGTTGTTACTCTCAGGGCTGTTGCTAGGGAACAAAGAATCATGGTGATTTCCCTGGGCTCTGGACTTTAATGGGGATCGCTTAAATTGAGCACTGGATAATGTGATTCAGAAAGCATCCAGCAGGTAGAAAAAGGTAAAGCCAGCAGCTGGTTCTTAAAAAAGAAAAATGGTGGGGAGGGTGGAAAGTTGAGGCTCATGTGTACAAAGTTCAGACAAAGAACATTGCAAAATTATACCTCATTCTCTGTTTTTCTACTGCTAAACAATACTGCAAATTGCCCCTTTGGGACTTTCTTTTCCCTCTAAAGCAGTTCTTGATATTAAGTAAAAACACAGTATGATAAACCATCTGAGAAAGATTAATATCATAAGTCTTGCATTTGGAGAAAGGCAAGGGTGTTTGCAGTATTCTGTCCCTACTCCCTGTCTTCCTTGGGCTAGTAAGATGTGGAATAGGGTGTGACTACCAGAAAAGTGATAAAACTCGAAAAGACATGACATCCATTGTAGAAGTTCTGAAGCAAATCATAGAGAGAGCACAGTGTTGTGGGCTTTAAGTTAGAAAGAACCTGAGTTTAAATGATGACTTTATTAGTTATTACTTATTGGACCTTAGGGAAGCTACTTGACTCTGCTAAGATTTAGCTTCTTCATACATAATGTAGAAAAATACTACTATTACTAATATGTATAGCTCAAAAGACTGTTGAATTAAATGAGATAATGCATATAAAGTTAATTTCATGGCTAAGAGTCTACACATTAGATACTACTTTGTTTTGAAAAACCATATTTTCATCAGGTGAAATGATAAGCACTTTCACAAAACTTATTTAATGATACTTCTGCTGTTCTGAGTCCTGCCTACTGAATAAGCTTATTTGTTCATATTGCTACTTGGATAGCTTTGGAGGGCTAGGATACACAATTCATCTCCTTGGGTTATTTCATATTTTGATCAGTTTTTTTTTCACTGTAAATGCAATTCTTTAATATCTATGACTAACCAAACAAAAAAGTCTTTGAAAACAAAAGAGCTTGTGTTGTCTTTCACAAAAAGATTTCAAAACTCAACATGCTTGAGGATGTGCCAAAAATAGTGTCATGAAATAGGTCCTTGTGTTATTTTTAATAACTGGTCATATCTGGTTCTAAACGAGCAGTTTCATGCTGGGTTCCTCTATGATTTCAAATTCTTGAAATCAATGTTTGGTCTGAACCAATTAATACTTAACTTCAAAGTACAAAGTCTTCAGGTTTGTCTTAAAGTTTTAATAATATCTTGGTATAAAGATTTTAAACACTAAAACATATTATAAAAGATATAATACTGTCCTGTCACTTGTGGCAATTATTTGGTCAAGAAAACTCAGATACATAATGGAATCACTTAACATGCATAGAATTTCAAACTTAAAAAGTTAAACACAAAATAAGTTTTTATATTTGAAATCACTCGTTTTGGTGTAAACATGGATTTTGTGTTGTAACTACTGCTCATAATTTATTTGTTCACTCAAAATAGTTTTAAGAAAATAGATATTTCTTCAAAAAATATTTACTCTTATAAGAGCATAATTGGTCTGTCATATGCAAATAAAAGAAGTAAAGTTGATTCTAGGCATTTATGGCAATAACCTTCTATAAAGTTTTTGCAAACACTGAATTAGAGAATACTGAACCCTTGTTCCTAGGAAAGTTACAGGGTTAGGATCATGCGAGCCTCTGGTCACAATATTTTCATCAACTGATCAATACATAACCTTGTTTTATGGGTGTTGTGCTTGGAGCCACCTTATTTAATATATAATGTTAAATTTATTAACACATGAACTTGAAGCCAATGGTACTGTAACACATACATAACTACTCTTATCTGACACGTGCATTGCCTCTGTAAGGCACATTACTCATGGAAACTAGACAACACCACAGCACTAGACTCAGGGCCATGTTCAACACCAAAATCATCGATAATCACAAAAATGTAAAAAATGTGGCCACAAAAAGGACACCTTTTTACAACTTCCACTGGGAATGTGCACCTTGAACAACACATTTTTTTGCAGCTCTTGTGCTTATTCGCTAGTGACCGCAAAAACACCAGGAGTACTGATTTGGGTGATACAAATGAATTTTAGCGAGTAGGCAAATGCATAAATACAAAATCTACAAATGATGAGGATCAACTATAAATCAGTACTGTTCAAGA